TTCGTCAAGGCCAAAAAACACAAATGCCATTAAAAATAAACAAGATTTTAAAACCCTTAAGAATAAAACAGAAAAAATCAACACGTTCATAAAAACGAAAACATGTGTGGAAAACATCTTTCACAACAGATAAAAATTTTAAAAATTTAACACTTACCTCGTCTTCAGTAGCACTGTCTGCCTGTGGAGGTTTTTTTCTTACAACATAGGAATTTTCATGTAACCAGGAAAACTCCTTCAGTATTTGTAAACCTCTTCTTCCATGTTCAAAAGGCAGATAAAACATATCAATAAAAGTGGAAATCTGCTCAACATCGATGGTAGCCCTAAAACAAATCAGAAGATAAAAAATATGGGGTTTATGAAACACAGTTATTGAATTCTGACATACAATGCAAGTCTAAAGCTAACGCAGTGTCTATTTCAGAATGTATGCTGCTCTCCATGCTAACATCAGATGATATTTCTAACATATCCTGACTACTTGCTTTTCCCGGCGGACCAGCAATATCTACCACGGTTTTACCATCATCCTGAAGGTATCCAAAAATATTGAATTTGAACTCAAAACTTTTTGCAAAGAAAAGGACAAATGGTGTTAAAGATAGAATGAAGAAAACGCTCGGGAGACCTTAACCATAGTGACTAATTCCATTGGTTCGCCATATTCAACACTAAGCGAATTTACTGTCGGGGACAGCGTTGCCGTCGACGTATTTGTGTGCTGGAAATTTTGAAGTAACAAAATGTTCACAGCACGAAGCAGAGTGAATAAATAGTACAGACAAGGCAAATCTGCAGAGCGAAGAAGCATCGAAAACCAAGCTACTCAACCTCTGAGACCCTTATTTAATAAAAAATCTATTCTCATTTCTCGATTTTTTGATAGTCATATTTGAAAATTACCGTTTCTGCTATACCCATAACAGCATCAGATATTGAATAAGTCTGTACAGTAACAGTAGTAGCAGAACCAATCGGAGGAGCAGAATACAAAGGAGGCGGAATATCGGTATTGGGGAGAAGTTCATTACCCTCACAAGTTCGTATTACCGGAGGAACCAAAGCAGTGCTAGGGGTACGCTCCACTGGACCACCAGTTTGAGTATCCATTTGAACAATACTGAAAAGTATTGTAATATTTTAGTATATTTCTCTCTTTTTTCTATAAAAGCACTTCTGAAAAGTTAAAAACATAGCATACAGATATTCAACAAATTAGTCCACCAACTCCCTTAAGGCTCCCCAAACAGAACAACCTGTTAAATTTCAAAGCTGAACTTTTACATAAGTCAGATCCAAACTGAAAAAAAAAAAAAACAGTGAGTTCCCATAAAACAGTATCTGCTTATTTCCTTCCAACTATATCATAGGCTGAAGAGGAAAAGCAAAAATTTAAAATACGAATGCAAACTTACAAAATTCATAATATACATCATTTACAAGTCTCAAAAAAAGCTGTAGCCAAAGCTTTTTCGACTACTGTTTAAGCAACACCGGTTGTCAAGATTGTAGCTTTTCATACTCAGCAATTTGATGAGCTTGTCCAGCATCAGAAGATAGAGCAGAAAGTTCGAAGATGATGAAGAAAGCTTCATCAAAGAGTCTAAACTTCAAGAATGGACTTTCCATAAGACTTTTTGTCATCCTCTCAAATTCCTTTTCCCTGGCTGCTAAACCCCTTATAAAAGAATTTTAGGTGCCACAGACCAGTTTGACAAATAGCACCGCACTTCGTTATTCTTGTTTTAGATAATACATTCTTTAAAACCCGCCCTGCAAAGTTTTACAACACAAATTACAAAAAAAAATGCTTTCCAGAGAAGAAAAAAATGAAGAAATAACCCAAAAGTATCTGTATGTCGTTGGTAAATGACAATGAACTAAAAGTCCGCAGAAAAAAAAAAAGCTTCAAACAAGTACATTTTAATTTAAAATAGCAATAATAAAAAAAGCCAAGGCTAAGCGAAGAAAAGATCGAAACGATGTATGAAGGAAGCCAGCAAAGAGCAAGACTCCGATAAAAGTGATGAGAATGCTATAAAGCAAAAACTTTTTAAAACAAGTTTCAAAAAATCACTGTGGATACGATAAAGGATCCCCATCTAATGACAGAGCACGCAGAAACTACAAAAATAAGGATGAATACAGATGACGTTAGAAGGAAAAGTGCGGTGCATTTTAAAAATGTAACTTAAACGATTCAGACAGGTAAGTAACTACAAAAAATTTCCAACCAAAAGTTTGCAAACGAGTACTTTCAAGCCGCAAGCAAAAAAACAAAAAAACGGAAGAGTCAAGTCCTTCGCACACATCTAAATAACCGATACAAAAATTGTCGGGAAAATTTATAACAAAATGTTTATATTAAAAGCTGAAGCACAGAATCAAAACATAACATGATTTGCTCAAAAACATATTTAATATAAGAGAAATTTATTACACGGTCAGTTTCAAACAAATGACTACAAAATAAAAGAAAACTGGAGTTCAAGATAAACTTACGGTAAGACGCCGGAAGAAACGAACGGTTCGTTAAAATAGTCTAGCCACCGCCTGATCCCTTCCTCCAAAGCCTTCAAAGGGTGATAAAGCTTTTTAGGTGATGCATCTTCCACTATTTTAGCAGCAACGGGAGCCAATCCACCAGCTTCCAAGATAGCAGCAGAGGCTCCACTGCAGCCTGTATCTGCATCGAATTAAATCGTGACATATATACATCTTTAAAAAACATAAATCTCAATAAGTAATTATACCTTCTTCCAACTCTGCATCAGCGTGACAGCTGTTCCACTCAGCGATTGTGAACAAAGGCACAAAATTTGCTTCATACCGACAATTCGGGTTAAGCAAGATACCATTAATTTCATTTTTTAGCTTTACAGATCTAAAAAAAACCTCAAGAAAAAAATAAAAATATACACAGAAAAATAAGGACACAGATTACCTTCCTGCAAAAGGTCCAAGAAATATTCGCTTTGGGTCATAATCATTAGCGTGCAAATTATCCCAAATAACTGGCTTTCGTTGAAGTACAGCCGATACCCTGCGAATATGTTCAATTGTGATGTACCGAGAAACAACACGCGCTCCTATAACAATAGAAAAGGAAATTAAAAGAAGTTTTAATAGAATACTTTAGATTTCAAGGAGTGTTTTAGCGAGTACTTTATTTGCATATCACCCAAACTAAGAAGCAAACACATGAAAGCAAAAGAGAAAAAAACTAAATTCACTGCATCCTACGTCGATCTACCCAGTTTGAATAAAATTAAGTATCTTTTTTCCTGTGAATCTACAACAAAAGGCAGAACATGGTTCTGGAGTTGTAAAATACAAAGGAGCTTACTGCAGAAAATCCACTCCATGCATAACTCCGTCAAAGTTCAAAAATCCAAGTCTTGGCTTAACGTTTCCAAGTTTCTAAATTTGTAATTTTGTTCATCCTGAATGAATTTTGGAAAGCCTTGGTTCAAATGATAATTAAAATGTTTTTCTTGAAATATATAGTCGTTCTGAATTTATGACTGTGCAACATACAATAAGAGACATAAACCACGACAAGAAAGGCAAAAACTTATTTTTTATGCAACTTTAATCCAAATACCTTTCTTTTGAAGTATAATTTTAGAGAAAATTTAATTTTACAGAACGAGAAACATCCTCTTCGGTGTTAGAACTCTTCTCACTTTAGCAAATTTTAAATATCGCTTAATTAACTCACTAGATACGTTAAATGGAACTAAGGAATTATTTCCTAAAAATAATAAACATTCCTCATCTATCATAATATGGTTAAAATAAAATAAAAGGATATACGGGCTACATTCTCCTCAACCTTTCTGCATATTAAAATTCCTAGTTTAATCTATAAAACCCGACATGTTGCACTTCAAGTAAACCAATAAAAACAGCAAATATCCATTTTCACAAACAGTTACACTTCTTAAAAAAACCTTTTGACCGTCTTTTACTGAAAACTGGAAAATTAAAATACTAGAGTACTTCTGAAATCCATTTAGGATGAACGAAACTACAACGCTCAAAAAATGTCCTGTTAAGCCAAACCCCAAACTTGCCTGACTTTGGTAAAATGTAGCTGTGCAAAACTTTCTCTTTAAACTCTCCAGTTAGTCTAAGCATGCCGGTAAGAAAAACTCAAATAAATTTCTAAAATTTTTTGTGCAAAAAAAAATATTTCTAATAATTGTAGTAAATCCTAGCAAAACACCTAATTCCACTGTGTAGTTCTAAAAGCAGATTGAAAAAGACCGCAATGAAAACAGCCATAGAGTACTCAAATCAATAATACCTAAGTAAATGTCATCACACAGTTACCTGTCCAAAGAATGTGAATATTTGGGAGCAGCTTATTACCAAGAGTCTTCAAGTAATCAGACTCTTCAATCGAAGGGCAGGCGCGAGACTCACAGTACTCTAGAATTAAAAATTTAAAATTGAGAGTTTAAATCTTACAGCATTGTGTTTAACCTTCTTGTAAGCACCTTCAAGCTCAGGTGAAAATCTGTTCTACGAAAACCCCTTGAATATCTGGAAAAGTCAAAATTCATTATAAATCAAAGTCTCTAAAAACTTAAGCAAAATTATTACCAGTTGGGCAGAAGAAGAACTGTGGGCATTTTAAATATTCATATATTGAATTAGCTACAGTTAGCTGGGCCATAACAAAGGAAAGAAATTTTTTCTTGTCCTGCTCATGCATAGTTGCCTCTATGTCATCAAAAAGCAAAGCGAAAGCCTCACAGCCAATATTTTTTACCTGATCCATAAAATACAGATGTAGAGACGAAAGAAAGTTTAGAAACTGGTTCCTTTACAAAAAACCAAAGCTAATATAAAAACTTCACCTTTTAATTTTTTAAAAAAGATATCAGCATATGAGCAACAGAATAAAAATAAAAGAACTATAAAACACTAGAATTTTGTCCAAGAATAATTGACGCGATAGAACTGGAAAAAAACTGAAAAAAAAAGTAATTGTTCCAATCTGAAACAAAGAAAAAAGCACCTGACTTAATTTATCTTGAAGGGCTTTAACTTCCTTCTCACTCGAATAAATGATATCAATCCCCGGTGATAACGCATAAACAAAAGTTATCCCCTGTCTACGGGCTGCTTCAATTAAAGACTGCAAAAGGTCTGAAAAAAACTTTTAGAATTAGAAAAAGTTAAGAATACGAAATCAATAGTTTTTCGGCAATAGTTATCACATTAATCTATTTATTAACAAATGCATTATTTATGAAACTAATCGCAGTAATAAATAGAGAACTGCTTTGCAATTAGATGCGGGTTAAGTCGTTAACTAATATTTCAGTTGTAAATCTTCAGGCCTAAAATACCCAGGAAACTTTTGGAAAAAATTTATCAAGTGAGGGTACAAAATGACACTTACAAATAGCATGCATACTATGCGAGTAAACCGACCTTAAATAGGAGGCTAATGTCTTTGATCAACAATACTATCAATATTTACTTACCAGTTTCATCAGAAGTGTACAAGACCCTCCATTCAGCTCTATGTTTCAAATCATCTTTTGGAGCGTAAAGATACACATTCATACCAAGTTCTCTCATCCTTTCAAACAAATTTTTCCTCTGATCAGCCGTCCATGGTCGTCCGTAAAATCCTAAATAAGATCATAAAGAACATACGAAGCGCAAAATCAAAAAGAAAATTCTTGACAATTTCCAATGCTCACTTTAAAAACTTCATTGAAAGATCACAATGTATTAAATAAAGACATGACAGAAATAACGTATACCTTCAACAACTCCACAAAGTAAAAGCTCTGCGTCCTGAGCATCTTGGTTTACGGCTGTATCGCTTTCAGTTGTTTTCATTTCTTTCAAAAAAAAAAGCCTGTAAAAACCTTCACTAAATCTCTCGTTAACCCAGAATTAAATGAAGACATGATTCACGAAGAAACAACCTCCAAATGATTTTAAAAAAAGTGCCCAGATAAAAAACAAAGAAGCAGACGACATACAGTCGCCAACTTCAAAATTAAAGTTTTGAACACAACTCCCCATTAAAAAATACTAATAATAATAATAATTTATTAATGTAATTACTACAATAAGAATCAATCTACAGAATATTAATCCAAGAAATTTTTTGGGTGAAAGTGGTCATTATCCAACTGCTAACAAATTACAAATTCTATTAGCCGCATAAAATGAAGACCACCAATACAATCCGAAATTATGACTCAGAACCAATAAAAAACCGAAAATATAAAAAAGAAGAAAAAAAGCTATCTCGCTGAGACATTAAAATTACAAGAGTATTTTAAAAGAAAACTTTTGTGATTACAATACAGACTCTAAAACAGATGCATTTCGAAGTCGGCTTATAGAAGTCATACATTTTTTAAAATTCCCTCGCAATATCCTCAATTCCGTATAACGGACACAACAGTATGAGAATTACGAAACGTAAAAACAAGGGTTGCCATTTTTCAAAATGGCTTTCTCCTATAGTGGTATCCACAAAGAATTATTGCGTTGAGGCTCCATCGTGGCAATGACAAAAATATTAACAGAAAAGTTAATAAAAAAACAGCAAAATAAAACCCGTAAATCTATTATAATTAATTGTAGTTTTTTTCTTTTAGTTTTTTTTTTCTTTTGAAGATATTCAAACCAAAAAAATTTGCAGATTAGCCAACGTATTTATTAATAAAATTATCGCAACACCTAAAATGCACGCAGTCCGTCTGCAAAAACAGAGTGCACCTGCAAAAACTGCAATATTGGCAAAAAAAATATACTGACTTGAAGCATAAATTCTTCCTTCCTTCTTCTACTTAATTCATAAAATGCATTAGAAAAATATAACTTATTTGAAGAGTTCTTAAGACGAGTAAATGATAACCCGTAAGAAAATTGAGTCATACCTCCATAAAAGCTGAGGCCCTTAGTTCTAGCTTAAACACTGCTTCATTTCAATGAAACAATATCCAAGTAAATAATAACTGTAACACTGATTATCGAAACTTCAAAAGTACAAGTAAAACATTAACGAATTAAACTTCAGGCCATCAGAAAAAAAAAGTACGCTGAAGATATGGTGGCAAACAAAAAAAAGAAATACAAATTCATTTTAAAAAGTAAATAGCTAGTTAAAAATGCTTTTAAATTTTTTATTCAGAAAGACCCGTTTCTATAAACGTCGTCGACTTCTTAACCAAAGACATAATCAGAACTACCTTGCCCGTATTTCCCCTCTACAATTTTATTACATCACTTAAATTACAATAATTTTATTGGTACCTCCATACATCACAGATCAACCTAAAGTACAAACGTTGGTCAGAAAATTAGCACTTCCATATTCCTCATCACCTGTTTTTCACTCCTCATAAAAAGACATAAATATCCTAGTCGTTGAACTCAAAGTTACATCAGTTTTTTACTGGCGGAAGACTATTGATAAAAAAATACACAACACCAAATTTATCTAGAAAACAGTAAATCATGGAGCAGAAAACTAACCTCTGATTTCCCAATTCTGACAAGCCGTCCAAAAGTTCTAAATTACAAACTTAGAATATTTTAATATCAAACATTGATCAGCCGTAAAAGAAATAAAGTTGATGCCATAATTACCGAC